TGATGAGTCACCTTCTAACACTGAAATCCAGTCTACTAACCATCGCAAATCTCCCCCACGCCGGTGAGGTAAGGGTACAGCTCCACAGACGGTCGATAGTTCTCTGCCTCATTTGCAATAACCTCCTCTGAAGCCTTTTGGGGGGGAAATATGAGATGTTGTTTCTGAAAAATTAAAAGTTTGAGTCTCTTTGTCTTTCCAAAATGTTTTCAGATATGATTTTAGAAGAACATAAAACAGACAAAACAATCAAATCAGCTGAATAAAGCAGGAGTGCAGATTATATACTGGACTTTACCATATGTTAACGGTTAAAATGCAGTGAAATAAGTATATCCTGTTTAAACACAAACAAAAATCATTTTTGCAGACATTAATAACAAATAAAATACCACCTTCAGTGTCTTAAAGCTCTACTTTGGTCACTAGAATAACCTTCAAAGGTAACTGAAAACTCAATCTAACAGAAACCCACATGGAAAACAAAATACCTTCACGATGTCACAAACTGGAATCAAAGCCTTATCTCCTGGTGTATGACATATACATGGTAAAAAAATCAAAAGAGATCCACTTACAGATGATATAACATAGCCATCCATCATGTAAACAAGGCTTCATGAGCTTCTTGGTTCTTTAAGCTTGTGGTAATTTTTAACTTTTTCTTATTGCTTCACCGATAAATACGGAGTGTCGCCAGGCACTGACTGCAGCACGCAAATGGGAACTGAAAGTGAGAAATAAGCTGGAACATATACAGTCTGCATTCATATCCAGTTGCTAGGTTCATATGGTGAGTTAGTTCCTGATGGCCATACACCATGTTTACATGCATGTATTAAAAGTCTAAAGCCCAGTGTGCTTTTTTTTGTGTGTTATAGCACACTCTGAGTGCAAAACATCTCCACATGTCTGTGAAAACATTCACACCCTTAAAGAAGACGCAGTGAGAGGAGAAGGTTATCACATATTAAATGACGAGCCCTTCCCTGCTTCAACTCTTCTCTCTCATCAGTTCAACTGATGTGATTAGAGAGACATTAACTCTAATCTTTGCACTCATTCCTAACATGATTAAACTTAAAGATAATGCAACACTTATTTCATTTAACACATCATAATTGAAGAGGAAGGCAGGCTTTATGAGATTCTAACTCTCAATTACAATGAGTATGGTTTATTCACACTGGAATTTTTTAATCGCTACTGCAGGCAGCAGTCGAAACCAAAAGTGAAGTTTGGACCAGCCTTGTTCCTCTTTTTGTTTGGCATTATGGTTTCAATTGAGGAAGTTCTGACCATGAGATGAAACCAGTGAAAAAAAGACGGAAAGAGCTGGACTCACTTTGTCCCTGTAACTTGTCTACGTTTTTATACATACAACACTGAGATTTTCATAACCACCTTCTGACTTTTTTTTTTCTGGCATGGAGGTGGATTTTTATGACTTCTTTTAAAATAATCGAATGAGTCAAACATTATTACGCTGTGCTTTGACATCTTTGCCTCTGTTTAATGGAAACTTACCAGAGGCAGTCTGCTGGCTGTGATGAAACTGTTTCCTGTGAGCACACCACAGGGAGAAAAGCAGGTTGTTTGTCTGCATTTTTGTGTTTCACGGAACACATCAGCTGAGGTGCCTTGAGACATGGTCTATTAAAAGACGGCAAAGGTTCCTTTATTTTGTTTAACCCCAGAAAATCGTGTTTATGACGACTGCAAACCGTGACCCACGGTGCGTAAAGTGCAGGTCTGGGGCTTCTCGTGCTTTCAAATATTTGCTCTGTCTCCATCTACTGGAAAGAAACGTTGAACTGGCCAGTATCTAGGCTAGACTGAGTTCAGAGGCATAGAGGAGACAACCAAAATAGCACATCGAGGCCCAAATCTATTTATCCTCCGCCCCCGAATATGGCTCTTTTAGGGGATGCTTGACAAATTAGAGAAATGAGGGCTTCGCCGATTTATCAGCATTTCCGATTTCCAAGTATTGCCAAATTTCCTCCCCACCTTAGACACTGACATCAGCAGCAGCCAGGAGCGGAGTCCCGCTGTCCCGTGGAAATATCACGGCACAGAGGCGAGATACGCATGGAACATGGCTGCTATGAGGACTTTAACCGTGGCAGGTCTGTTTTTGGCTTTTTGCGCTTTGGGACTGATCGCGGTGGCGATCAGCACCGACAACTGGTACGAGACTGACGCCAGGAGGCACCGGGAACGCTGCAAGAATTACTCAAACAAAAGAAACGACCCCGGCTACATTTACATCTCCAACAACAACCTTCCGCTTCGGATGCTGCCAAAGGAGAAAAACGTTGAAAGAAAGGGCTCCAGTGTCAGCGGCGAAATGCTGCTGCGGGCTAAGCGGCACTTCTTGCCTCCTGCCCCGGCAATGGAGTCTCTCTGCAGTCGGCATTTCAACTCCACCGTCACCGGACTGTGGAGAAAGTGCCACAGAGAAGGGTTTGACTTGGAGACGGAGGATTTGATCTTTAAAGGTTTGGTGTCGGGCTTCGTGTTTTTGTGCTGTAACGTGTTTGTTTCGGAAGCTTTGTGTCGAGTGACAGGCGCTGTCGGTAACAATACTTTGTGCACGAATGCGCTATCCAAGGTGCTGATGCTGCGCAAAGACCCTCGAGGCCTACGCAGTATCGCACGGAGTACAGTTACAATGCGATCGACGTGCTGTTTTTTTCTCTCGCCCCAGCACAAAAGGGCAGCCTGTAGTAACAGAAGCCTCGGGATGCGTACAATAAGCTACTCCACAGTGGTGTGGGTGGATGGGTGGGCGGTGGTGGTGGTGG